GGAAGGGACCACACGGCTCCAGAATTTTCACTGTGCCGTGCTGGCCCGTGGTTCACCCTGCAGTGGCTCCGTGGCTCCTGTCCYGGTTGCCCCAAATCCGCGTTGCCCCCACATCCCCCCCAAACCCCAAATCCCTCCCCTTCCATGCAGTTCAGCGAATCGCGGCGGCTGCTCCTGGACTGGATGGACGAGGTGGAGCAGAGCCTGGAGGAGCCGCAGGACGCTGCCACCAGCCAGGAGGAGATCAAGTGCCAGCTGGCTGAGCACAAGGTAAAATCAGATCCAAAAAAAATGATCCGAGCAAAACTCYGCCGCTTTTATAATTTAAATTGTGAAGCGGGTATGTTTATTGCGGCGCTGGGTGAGCGGGAGGTACTTCTCAAAGCCGGGGTATAAATCTGGTTACATGTTACGCGTTCRCCGAGTTTCAAAATTCGCCTGTACATATTCATGACCTATCCCCGCTTTGTATTATAATGAGTTTAAAAGTCATTTCTGTGTTATTTGGTAGCCRGCTCCGGGGGTCTCGGGAGGAAGTAAAATACTCATCCTCTCATCTTGAATTTTCACCTTTCTGTGTTGCACGTGCTCTCTGAGTCCCTGGCCTAAGTCTAAACAGCAATTCTGGTTTTAGCCAGCGTAGGGATTCCACGAACACAAGCTGGGTCACAGTCTTTTTTTTTTTTTTTGTCAATAATCTTTTACTTCTCATTCTGCTTTGACAAACACAATTAATGTTAGGTTAGCAATATACATGTCTAAAGAGCAGTTTCTAACAAGTTACCCTGTAACTTCTGACTTCCCTGTGTTAGGAAAATTAATCCACGAGCAGCAGAGGTTTATGTCCGAAAAGGAGACAGAGGAGTCCCGCATTAATTAATTAATTAATTAATTCATTCATTCATTCATAAACTTTATTCATTTATTCCCTTTATTCCCTTCATGAATAAAGGGAGAGGTCATGGGCATTTCCCATGGGGTCTCTCAAATTCGAAGAGGACKCAGTTCCCTCTTTTATCCCAATTTCCCGGCCGCGGTTCCCTTTCTCTTTCCCCATTGGCTGAGGTATTTCAGGCTCCCAAAAACCCCCTCTTCTATCATCCATTGCCCCCTTTCAATATCCATCTCTGTTTCTGCTCTTGTAGTTTATTAACACAGTCTGGGATAAGTAAATCAGTGGAATTTCTATGGAAATCATTCCCATTGTTTCCTTCCATCTCCCAATATCAGCCTTATCTCACCCCCAGAATGAGTCTGTTTGTAAAGACACTTCTCACTCCTGTCACCTTCTCATTCCTTTC